AAGAGGAACTGAAAAGAACAAACACGAGATTAGTTTAGGAAAAGGGCACCCATGTTTTCATAACCAGATGTAAACAGATGCCTTAGCGAGCAGGCTTGGGTTTTGTTTGCAGTGTGACTTGAGTAACAAGGCCGAACGTATCAACACTGTACGCTACAACAGCAAGGACGACAATATTTGCAACAATAGATTATTAATATCGATTAAAGTTAAAGTACTGGTTGTACAAGGACAACAAAAAAAGGACAGCTATGCATTTACTTAGGAGAACAATAATGGTTGAGTAATAGCGCCAGGTGTCAAAAACACATGCACAACGTGAACCATCACTATTGATATTTTTCAACAAAGATTGTTTTCAAATTTTCCTGTTTTGCTTAGGGGGCAGAACCTCATGTCATCAATTCTGCTGTTTCCAAGTCAGTTTTAGCACCCTGAAATCTTATTTTGAAGTGACTCATTGGTGCTAGTTATCACCGCTTACACGAAACCGCAAACAGCGAAACCAGCTTGGAGAATGAGAGATCAGAAAACAATTGAAAGCCGAACTTGAACGCATTAACCAAATAAGCATTTGATCGATAGGATGGCAATTTTTAGTGCAGAGCGCACTATTGGGATGGTTTGGGGGCTGATGTCAGCTATGGCAGTAAGGGGTAAACATTAACATTAAGTAATTACTTAGTTTTTAGGCAAGAACATGGTAGTGGAGGGTAGGTGCATATGTGCACTGCGTACACACGTGTATCCTCTACCTTAGCGTACTTACAATATCACAAAGCTATATAATTGATATAGGAAACCTCTTGTCCTCCTTATGGTATTATTCTCTTCAGAACAAAACCAATTTTCCCTAAACGCATGCGCAGATTAGTCAGCGTTCGTGCCGACTATATATTTGGTGAAAGATGCGTCTAATTTGAGATCACAAGAAGTGAAAATGTTGAGTGCTTTTCCTTGTGGTAGAACCCAACAGGTAAAGGGCATGCTTTCCAGCACTGTTAGCGTGATATACGCCGTTTTCATCCCCAGAGCCATGGGGTTTTTTATGTGTCATGTGATATGACCGAGGACAGCAGTTATTTTTCGGGTAACGTCACTTTTCCGTTTTAGTGCAAAAAACGCTACTGTGACTGAGTATCTCTTAGAATTACCCCTAGCTCGGTTCAACAAATATCATCTGCTATTATCAAACTTTGCCAGAGTTCAAATTAAGAATGGAAACGTT